ATCAAGCCTTGAACACCCTTCCACCTGATTTTGAGATTATAAAGACAAATTATAATTCCCAAGATGAGACTTGGTCAGTGAATGACTTGATAGCAAGGGTGGTGGCAGAGGAAGAGAAACTTAAGAAGGAAAAAGGGCATCTAGCCTTATATGTTTCTGGTTCCCACAAAAAAGAAGGATAAGAAGTTCAGAAATCGTACTCATAAAGGTACTCATGACACTACCGGTCAATCTGACAATATGGGTCCAAAGAAAACATCCTTCAAAAGGGATGGTGGCCACTACTTCTTTTGTAAGAAGAAAGGTCACATAAAGAAGGACTGTGGAAAGTTTAAAGCTTGGTTGTTCAAACGTGAGCCTACAGGTAATGATTCTCAGGCACTTGTTTGTGAATCCAACCTATCAGAAGCACCATCCAGTTCTTGGTGGCTCGATAGCGGTGCAACTAATCATATTGCGTTTACCATACAAGGATTCATAAACCGGAGGAAGCCAAATCAGGATGAGTCAAGACTCACTGTGGGAAATAACGAGAAAGCTGATGTTGTGTTTGTGGGAGATGTAATCTTGATTCTAGACTCTGGTTTTAGATTAATGTTGAAAGACACTTTTTATGTACCTTCTTTTAGATGGAACTTAGTTTCCGTATCGTGTTTGGACATGTATGGCTACTCTTTTGAAATCAAGAATAATGTTATTTCTTTGTTTCTTAATTCAAATAAGGTTGGGTGCTGTTATATGTCCAACGGATTGTACAGATTGTGTTTGTCTCCCAATGACATATACGTCGCTTATACGGCTGAAAAGGTTGTTTCCAAAAGACCACTACCTAAGGAACAGTCTTGTACATTGTGGCATAAACGGCTAGGTCATATCTCTAAGGATAGAGTAGAAAGGCTGATAAAGACTAATATCCTGCCTACTCTTAAGAATGACTTAGAGACATGCGTAGACTGTTGTCAAGGTAAAATGACCAAGATAAGGAAGAAAACTGCAGTCCGAAGTTCTGACCTGTTGGAGGTCATTCACACTGATATAAGTGGACCCTATACGGCAACCTTATGTAGAAATTTTTATTTCATTACATTTATTGATGACTATTCTCGATATGGCTATCTGTACTTGATTAAAGAAAAGTCTGAGTCTCTTGACAAGAACAAGATTTTTCGGACTGAAGTCGAGAAACAGTTGGGAAAGGTCATAAAGGTTGTTAGATCTGACCGAGGTGGAGAGTATTATGGCAAATATGGCGATGCCGGACAGCTTAAGGGGCCATTTGCCAAATACTTAGAGAATTCTGGGATGGTGGCTCAGTTTACTATGCCTGAAACTCCTGAGCAAAATGGTATAGCCGAAAGGCGCAATCGCACCCTTATGGAAATGGTGAGGAGTATGATAAGTAGGACAAATTTACCTGTTTTTCTGTGGGGTGAAGCTTTGAAAACAACTTTGTACATTCTGAATCGTGTACCTACTAAAGTTGTTCCATTGACTCCTTTTGAGTTATGGACTGGACGTAAGCCTAGCTTAAACCATCTTAAGGTTTGGGGATGTCCTGCAGAAGTGAAGTTATATAATCCAACATTAAGTAAGTTGGACTCTAGAACCACTCGGTGTTACTTTGTATCTTACCCGGATCATTCGAAGGGATATTGGTTCTATAATCCCAATGGAGGCACAAGAATTGTGGAATCACAGACAGCCAAGTTTCTGGAGTTTGATGTGGCCGAAGAAAGTAGCTGCTCACAGACTATTGAGGATAATAGTACGGTGGGTAATGTTGTATCTTTATCTCCTCCCATACAGATAATTGTGGAGACTCCCATACCACAGACTGAACCTGTTGAGGCTCAGGATCCTGTTGTCGAGACAGCTCCTAATGAAGTTCCTCAAGGCTCTCAGGTGCAGGATGAGGCTGTTGTTGTTCCAGTAAGGAGATCAATTAGGGAGAGACGATCAGCTATACCACCGGACTACTTAGTCTATATAGGAGAGCAAGACTACGATATCGGTTCTGTAGCTGATCCAGTGACTTATGCGGAAGCTGTTTCTTGTCCTTAGTCAGAACTGTGGTTGGATGCAATGAGAGATGAAATGCAGTCTATGAAGCATAATGGAGTTTGGGAACTTGTTGAATTACCTGAAGGTTATAGATCCATAGGCTGCAAATGGGTGTATAAGACTAAAAGGGACTCCAAAGGAAAGATTGAGAAGTTTAAAGCCAGACTGGTAGCCAAGGGTTTCACTCAGAGGGAAGGAGTAGACTATGAAGCAACTTTTTCTCCGGTCTCTTCTAAAGACTCTTTTAGAGTGATCATGGCATTAGTAGCTCATTTCGATATGGAGTTACACCAGATGGATGTTAAAACTGCCTTTCTCAATGGAGACCTTAATGAAGAAGTCTATATGATGCAACCCGAAGGTTTTGCGGCAGATGATTCAGGTACGCTTGTATGTAGACTGGAAAAGTCTATTTATGGTCTCAAGCAAGCTTCTAGACAATGGTACTTGAAGTTTCATAGTGTTGTCGCTTCATTTGGTTTTGTTGAGAACAGAGTAGATCAGTGTATATACTGCAAGGTCAGTGGGAGGAAATTCATTTTCCTTATACTCTATGTTGATGATATTCTGCTTGCAAGCAGTGACCTTGGTTTACTGCATGAGACAAAGCGGATGTTGTCAAAGAACTTTGATATGAAAGACCTTGGTGAGGCGTCTTTTGTCCTTGGCATTGAGATTCATAGGAATCGTTCTCGCCGACTATTGGGCTTATCTCAGAGGGCATATGTTGATCGTATCTTAGAAAGATTCAACATGCAACAATGCAAGCCAGGAATTGCTCCTGTCACTAAGGGTGATAAGTTGAGTCTGTCACAATGTCCTCATTCAGATTTTGAGAAAGCCCAAATGAAGAATGTACCTTATGCTAGTGCACTTGGGAGTATTATGTATGCTCAAGTATGTACTAGACCAGATATTGCTTTTGCAATAGAACTTCTAGGCAGATATTAGTCAAATCCAGGACACGATCATTGGGTTGCTGCCAAGAAGGTTTTGAGGTACTTAAAGAGGACAAAAGACTATATGCTGATTTACAAACATGTTCAGGACCTACAGCTAGTTGGGTATTCGGATTCAGACTTTGCTGGCTGTCAGGATGAAAAGAAGTCGACAACAGGTTACATCTTTAAGTTAGCAGGAGGTGCAGTATCATGGAAAAGTGAGAAACAGAAATCAATGACATCCTCTACTATGCAAGCGGAGTTTGTAGCATGCTTTTCGGCCGCTACTTAGGCAATTTGGCTCCGGAACCTCATTAAGGAGTTGATCGTATTTGATTTTGTGGATAGGCCCATACAGCTGTATTGTGACAATAACTCTGCAGTGTTGTTCATTAACAACAACAGAGGTCTCAAGGGGTCTAAGCATATGGAGGTCAAGTACTTGACTATAAAGGAAAAAGTTCAGGATTGTGACATTGCAGTAGAGCACATTTCAACAGATGATATGATTGCAGATCCGCTAACTAAAGGCCTTCGCCCTTGTGTATTTGATCAACATGTCATTAACATGGGCTTAGGAGTATCATTGGATACTGTTAATTAGTGGGAGCTATTTAGTTTTATGTTGCTCTTATGAAGTTTGTATCTGATTTTGTTACATTTTGTAATATTTGAATATGTATCAACTCTTTTGCATTCAATGAGGTATTTGTGAATGTAGATTTATCAAGTTGAGTATACATATTTGATGAAAATCTCGAGGCATTGTGTAAACCTTGAGTACAGGCTATGGTGCATTCTTAGTATTAGCTTTAACGATATGTCTTGTTACATATAAAGTACAGTTAACTATCAAGGTAAGACATATGAAGGTTCGTTGGAACCATGAAGGATATTCTCTGGTGACACATTAGGTTTTGTGACACTTAAGGAGAGAGAATTTGGACTAACAAAGTGGACAATACATAAAGTATCACTCATTATGAGGTATTGTTCATTTGACACACTACCATATTGAATCCATATCAGTAAAGTTAAAAGCACTCGTGACCATGGAAGGCTCTGCGTGAGTACATGCAGTTACCGCCATGATTCGGTGTTCGAGACTTTATGGGATCGGATTGACTATTAAGAATAATCTCTAGACCAATATAAGGGTGCGCACACAGTTCTGTTTCAATTAATATCGCCCAAGTGGGAGAATGTAAGAATTTCCTAATGTGGGCTTCATTAATTGAAATTAACTGAATTAGTTTGGTCTAATAAAGGTAAGATATATGGGTTCTTAATAAGTCTAATATGAGGCTGGCTGGTGTAGGTCGAGTACGGCCCGGCCCGTAATGAGAGGGCCCGTGGTCGAAAACTCTATAAATAGCGCTCAAATCCCTCCCCTAACCTGATGATGCACAATTTGACTCACATACGGATCTAGAGAGAACTTTCTTCTCGTGAGTGGCAATATCATTAGGCCAGTGTAATAACGAAGGGTATAGGGGAGAAGATCTTGAGTTCGTGTTCGGAAACCGTCGCCAATTCCGCGTCAAGTCCATGGATTCCAAACCAGGTACGCGAACCGACAATTTCTCCATTATCATGTTTCGGTTTCTGATTATGGTGATCCTGGGCGTGCCATTTTCGTGGCCTACAATATAGGCTTAATTTATTAAAACGACTCTAAGTCATAACTTATCCTTCCAATCATTAGTGGTCACCCAAGATTATTTTGGTTTAATTGATAATAAACCTCTTTCACAAAAACAAATTGGATACAATAAATTTACATCTAGAAATATGCTTTCATAGTCTTAATTGTCAATTGTGTTCAATATTTTGACAAAGTTGGGGTTGGACACCATTATTTCGCCTTCAAAGTTTGTCTAGAGGATCTAAAGTGGAAGGGCCAATTTATGCACATTTAGGGGGAGCCATTGAATAACCTTCTTTCTCCCAGAACAGATCAATTGTGTTCAAATGTTTTTTCTTTTGGCAGAACCTACCATGTACAAAAGACATCTTCCGCCGGCTCATTATTCATTAAAGATACAATCATTTTCCTTATTATCAACATCCAACGCGGACAAGTATGAATCTGGTGTTTTTGAAGCTGGGGGCTACAATTGGTGAGTTCTCAAATTTCCTTTCTTCTCTTTTTTTTCCTTCCAAACATATTTTCTGTCAGACTAAAGGCTCATATTCTTTGGAACCACAATGAACTCAATCAAGAGATACAACTTTAATGCTTAATCAATTAACGGCTAATTAAACGTCTAATTCGATCTTTTCAGGAGACTATCTCTTTACCCTAATGGAGATAAGGACAATAATGGGTTGGGATATATTTCCTTATATTTGTCAATTGAGGAGACAAATAAGCTTCCTCACGGTTGGGAGGTTGATGTCAACTACAAGCTTTTTGTGTATGACAAGATACGAGACACATACCTGACCATCCAAGGTTAGATCATCATGTAATATTAACAAAATCTCACTTCATCATCATAGTTTACAATGAAAACAATAATGTTTTATCAATTTGTGGAAATATGTGTAGATGGTGATGGGGCAGTGAGGAGCTTCCATGACTTGAAGACCCAATGGGGGTTTTCTCAGTTTCTATCCTTGGAAACATTCAAGGAGGCTTCAAATGGATACCTTGTGGGCGACTCTTGTATATTTGGGGCCGAGGTTTTTGTCATCAAATCTACTGGCAAATGGGAGTCTCTTACCATGATCAAAGACCCGCCAAACAAGACATTCACTTGGAAGATGCAAAGCTTCTCCAAATTAGACCAGAGCATTTACTATTCTGACGCCTTCACTGTTGGAGAGAGTCGTTGGTACATTCTCAAAGTGAAAAGTTTGCAGATTAAACTTTATTTACTTGTATATTTCCATTTCGTCTCTAACCTCAATTATCGGATCTAGGAAGCTCCAAGTGTATCCCAAAGGCTATGGATCCCTTAAAGGGAAGTCATTTTCCGTTTACTTACAGTTACTTGGTAATAAAGACCTTCCTCCCAAGAGAAAAAGTGTATCGCGAGTGCAATTTACGCGTGTTAGACCAGCTGAATGATACCCATAAGGAGAGAAAAAGTAAGTGCCATCAGGCTTCATGTTTCTGATCTTCTTCTGACAACCATTTTTTGAAAAGTTATCAATTTGATTTTTCACTAAATGTTTTCCACTGAAAAATTTGTTTCGCAGATTGCCACTGGGTCACAGGATCAGAAAATTCATGGGGTTTCCCAGACTTTATGTCCTTAGAGGATCTCCATAAGCCATCGAAAGGGTTTATTTATAATGATGTTCTGATTGTTGAAGTTCAATTCCTCGTGGTGTCGGCCGTCAAGGTTGTTGGAGTTTGACAGCTCTAACTTCATATCATTCCCTTTGATGTTGTCATAATTTCCTTGAAAACAATCTCTATCAACCAGTTTGTCAATGTATTTTTCCCCCTAGTTTGGTTTCTCCCTCTTTTTGATGGAGTGGAATCCCTCAAATTGATGCATTCATCGTTGAGTTTATTGTACTAGAGCCAATAAAGAATCTTGCAAGTTCAATTCTCCAAATTTGTATGAGTGTGCATTACTATTAATAGAAGTATACCTGGTCGATGGACGGGTTTGGGCGAGTCAAGTCGGATATTCGGCTTACAGTCCTTTCGGAGTTCCGCCCATAATTTAAACATCAAGTTATATTTAAAAATGACCAAGTCTGCACGGATTCAAGTTTAAGAAGGAAATTGCTATTAAAACGACCAAGGGTCACCGACTGTCCCTCGCCGGTCATAGGCGAGGGCTGGCCGACCCTCACCCGCCAATAGGTCTGGTGGAGGACCGCGACCCTCCCCGAACTTGAAGAAGAAAAAGAAAAAAAATAATTTAAAAAAAAAATAATTAAAATTTGGAAAATATTAAAATTTTATTAAAAAATGTCCACATCAACGCCGGCCCCGACCATGCCACATAGGATGACCGGTGTCCACGTTTGCGATTTCTCGCTAAAATTGGCCAGATAGACTCAATTGACAAAAAGTGAAAAGGTTTACGACTCAATTGGCAAAATTAAAAACGCACTACCAACGAAGGAAAATTTGTTCAGAAGGAAACTGGTACCTGATCTGAATTGCCTATTCTGCCGAGTTCATGCAGAAACCACAGAACATCTATTCCTACTATGCAAGTGGACGAGGGAAGTCTGGGATGGTCCTGCACTCAACATCCAGATCTCAAAATACCAAACTTCCCGCATTGATGAATGGCTGATAAAATACATACCCAGCAGCAACAACTCCCCCGAATTTGAGTTAGTCTCTGTTGTCCTCTGGGAAATTTGGAAAGCAAGGAATAGCCTCGTCTTTAGAAGGCTCCTCCCTGACCCACAGTTGCTGGTTGAAAGAGGACGACAATTGCTCAAAAATTTCAACAGATGGAACAACTTTGACAAACCAATTGAAGCTGTAAACCACATAGAGGAGGATGTCTGGAGTCCCCCAGAGAGGGGCAAAACAAAGGTAAATATGGATGCAACTCACCAACCTGGTTCCTTTGAAGGTTCAATAGCCTGTGTATGCCGCAACTCAGCTGGGATCTTGATCGACGGCTTTGCCAGGGACGTCCTCGCCTCCTCCGCCGAGCAAGCCGAGAGCCTAGCCATGGTGGAAACCCTCAAATTCCTCTCTCCTCGTGCAAGTGAAAACCCTACTTGGAGTCGATCGACTAAATCGGTCAACGCCTTGAAGTCTCCGAAGGTATGTTGTGGGAACATCGTGCTCTCCTCAGTGAAGCACGTGAGCTGTTGTCTTCGTTTTCAAACATAAAACTGCAGTTTTGTAATAGGTCCAGGAATAGTGTGGCGGACTGGGTAGTTACGACACACAGAAAAAAAGCACTCACTGAACACTGGTTGACCCGTCCTCCGCAGGCTCTTAGAGATCTGCTATGTTTTGAGACCCCGAAAGTGGGTTCTGTCTTTTCTAGATATCAATGAACAATCTTTTCTTCTGACCAAAAAAAAAATTGGCAAAATTGAAAGATTTAGGACTAAATTGACAAAAGTGTAATAGGTTTAGAATTTTTTGGATAATTTTCCCTCCCTTCATAACCTATTCCTCTGATGACAGCGAAAACTACTAATGAAGAGCCACCACTTCATAAACAAACAAAACAAAGTAAAGTTCATGTAGCAGAAATCTTAGTCCCATTGTTGCCTTAAACTTCAACCAAAAGACAATCCTAAAGTTTGCTTGGTTTTGTTGCCGGTGCTGCAGCAATTTGATTGTTACCAAGAACTTAGTTGCCTCCAGCGACAACAAAAAATTCTATCATCCCACCTAAAACTAACTCAGAAACTTAATAAGAAGAGAGTCCGGTCTACAAGAAGTAGGAAGAGCTAACAGTAACCATTCTGATCTATGCCTCCATATGATCATTTATTCAAGTCAGTTTATTTCACATTGAATGTTCTCAAACCTATTCATTACACCGGAATGAAAATTACCAATATGTTAAGAAAGCAACACGCAAAATAAAATCGTGACTTCATAAGCACGATAGATAAAGGAAGAGCCATGACTCTTCATACGAAACGTGCATAAACTTGTCCTGGCTCAAAGTCGCATTTGCTACACTATTATGGATAAGCTTCTTCTCTCCAAGCTGCCTATCTAAAAGTACCAGGGAGTATCAATTCAACGGAAAAGGAAAGCATTTAATCACACTACATTCATTCCACTGTCAATTGCATTCAAGTTTACAGACACGACTTCTTTCTAAACCAAACTCCTAAATGTAGATACTGCATTACTTAAGCTTTATTTGTCTTCGCGAAAAACGAATGAATTGGAAAATACTTTCCTTAAAATGATTTCTTTTATCGTTTGAAATAATTAGTCAATGAAAAATGTTTCATTGTCAACAATAATTTATATTTAAACATTTTTGTAAATTATGAAAAACAATTTAGTTCGTTAATTCTCGTAAATAGTACAAGCGATTATTTTTTAGATAAATACTTTTCAAATCATTCATTTTTCACGAAATAAACGCACCATTAAATTATTCACATTGTCAAACGCATTCAAGTGCCCGAGTTGTGTTTATGACACTCGCCCAAGTGAGGATTTGATAAGCCAAGTAATTAAATTAAGAAGTGGGAAAGTTAAATATAATAATTCCCTAATAGCATCGCCGCCCACATGTTCTTTTGCTTCCTTTTGGTAGGAGAAGAAAACTTCATGTCAATGGCGGTCAACCCCCGAGACATGGTAGGAGAAGAAAACTTCATCCCCCAGACCCAGTGAGGGTTGCTTGCCCTCGCCTAGACCTGGCCAACGGTCGCCAGTGGCAGTCAACCCCTGCTAGTGGGGGCCCTCAACCAGGTCTGGGCGTGGGTCGCTGGCCCCTGGCTGGGGCCCGGCAACTCCCGTCTACCATCCCCCACCCTCATTGGCCCCTCCTGACGATAGTGGGGCAGCGGCGGCGAGGGCTTGCAACTCTCCCCACCTGTCCTCCTCCTCCTTTTTTTTTAAAGCTTATTCTTTAAATATTAGTATTAAAAATAAAATTTGGCCAAAACTACATCGTTTTAATCTTATGTTTCATAATTTGCCATGTCATCACTACGTAAGAGAGAGAAAATATTAATGTCACGCCCCGAACCCTATGGTGCGCGACAACCCAACCGAGGTCGATTAAAGTACGACGTCCCAGAACGCGTCGCCGACCCATCACCCAACACATAGAATCATGCACACGCGGAAGCAACATAAACACCCGTACAATTTAAAACACATGACCAAGGATAGCACAAACAATAAACAACATTATAAATATACACTTGCATTAACATCGGGAAACATATACAATATCCATTTACAGTCAAAATATACACCACCAATCAAAAACGGGTCAGCGGCCACTACTAGCAAAAAGTGTAAGTGGCCCGGGCGGTCAGGGATATTAAAACTAGGTGGGGCTCCGGTCAAAAAGGTACTGGCCTGACCTATCTAAGACTAAGGCTAAACTCTACGGAACCCAGTCCGGGTCGAATCTCGAGGACTCAGAGGAACTGTCAGACAGCTCGACCTCGAAGTCTAGGGAATCCAACTCGGACTCGGCCTCTGCCGGCTCCTCCTCGGAATCCATCTCCTCAGGATAGCCCTCCTGCTCGGGACCTACTCCATAGGCTCTGGCTCCTCGTTCGACTCCATCGGCTCCGGGTCAGAGTCCCAATCCACCGGCTCCTCGTCCATCGGGTCAAACTCGTCAACATCCCAGATAACAGGCCGGCGGCAAGGACTAGAACTCCTCTCTGACGTGTACTCGGGGCTCGCTAGGTCTCCATCCTGACACTAGGGATCCACCTCACCTAGCCCGTTGAACGGGACATCAAAAGTCCTGAGGGACCCGAACGTCCCAGAGTAGTCCCTAAAACACCAGGCGATATACTCGTGGGCCTGGAAATGCTGCTCGCCCGAATCAACCCATACAGTAGTGAAATGCCTAATATATGTATCCCCGTTCCCTACGGGGTACTCGGTCACGTCCCGGTCTATCCGGGACGGAATCCCAAAACGGATAGGTACATCTGACATCTTCAGGGCCGGGGGTCTGAAAGTTGGGTTTTAACAACAATGAGAACGAATCTCAGCAAGTAAAACCCCCTAAACCTAAACTAGGCTAACATGCACCTCCTAACAGGCAAACTAACACAAACAACCAGTAACAATCGACAATCAATTGACCTAGGCCCTTGGGCCCAGATCGAGCACACAATTAACCCTGCAGGTTAGACAGTTCCTCGTAATACTCATGCCACATACGCGAACACACTTAGTCACACGTATGCTCATGCTTATTAATACCTGCATCACACACGAGTCACCGCTACAAACATGCCTGCACAACTGCCAATGCACTCTTGCACACATATGCCACCAATATGCCATGCTCATGATCCGGCTCAATAATGCACACTTGCACACTGCCAATTCTCATTTAGAGCTCGACCCGCGTAAAACGCATCAGGTCTATTCATGTCCAACACTTCCTGGCCCGCGTAAAACGTATCAGGCCCAGTGTCTCTAGACCCCGTAAAACGCATCAGGCGCAACACCGATCTCCATATACGAACCAAAACCCGCGTAAAACGCATCAGGCTGGCTGTCTTCCGGCAATCCGGGCATCGTCCTGCGTAAAACGCATCAGGACGGGTTCAATACCCCACGTAACACGTATCAGGGCTTATAGTGATCACACATATACACGCACCAGATTTTATCTGAACCCTGCGTAAAACGCATCAGGGCAATTAGGTGATCACATGTTCATGTCAGGCACGCATACTCGCACAAGTCTCGCCTCAAGCCAATGCTCATCATGCAAAATGCGTGGTCATGCATAATGAGCATTCGATTCCAGCATGGGCACATAATCCAATCATACCAAGACATACTCAAACAATATCACGATGTGCTCAAATATCCAATTGACATGCCCATGTTCAGTCCCAATATGCCCACTCAACATATTAGCATGTCCAATTAAATAATTCAATGCAATTAGGCTTCGGCACACAATTGGCACATAATTCATGCAATTAGCACAACATAAACTTGCGCACTCGAGGCCCACTTGCCACTTCATACTCGGCCACTAAGCACGTGAGATGGCATCATGAAATTGATAACAACCGAGCACAATTCAATCCCCCAAATGGGTCAAAACAAAGCATGCTCGGGATTTCCACCATTAAACCCTAAATTCACCGTACCGAGGCTAATTAATTCCAATAATTCCAGCCATCAACAGCCCACTCTAGGGCACTAAACCACATTGAAATCAACACATTAGACTCCCAAGTCATAACATAATCCATACTAATCAAGCAGCCCACTAATCATCCATAATTTCCCCTAATTAACCCCTAAATTAACCTAAACCTATCTAGAAATGCTAATTAGCCTAATTAGGGTTTAGGGATAATTACTCACCTAGTCTCAAGCTCCAATCTAGTGGCTGAACCGACGGGAAAATAGGCAGACCGAGCGGGCTCACGGCGGCGTAAGCGGCGGCGACGGGCAGCCCTCACGGCGGCGCGAGCGGTGGCGGTCCAAGGCGGGGGCTGCTCACGCGACTGGGGAAAGGAAGAGAGAGAGAATGGGATGGCTGGATGGTGGTGGCGCAAGGTGGAGCGAGCGGCTCCGGCGTGGAGCGCGGCGGCGGTGGTCCTTCGGCGAGCGGTGGCACACGGACGAGAGAGGGAGAGAGAGAACCGGCGAGAGGGGGAGGAGAGGGAAGAGTGGCCGGCTGGTGAGGGTGAGAAATGAGAGGAGAGAGAGAGATTGAGGGAGATATACACATTGGCTAGTGCGGTGGTTGACCAAATTCTACCAAAAGACCATCTTGCCCTCAATCCAAGGGCTTGGATTTAATCTAACTATAATATCTAGGGGCATCTTGGTCCAAAATTCCAGCATTATTGGGCTGATACAAACCAATTTAAAACCCTAAAATACTCTCCAATTAATCCCAAAATTCGGAATACAAGGCTAGGGGCATAGGGGCAAAACGGTAATTTTCTGGTCTTGGGTCAAATTTCCAATTTTCGACTCTACTGATCCCAAATATAATTGGCCACACTTATACGACATTGTCCTTGCTAAATAGTCGCGTACGCCCAAGAAATTCGTCACCGAAGTCCGGACTCAATTCCACGATCGATTTCGCTCAAATGCGATTTTAGCGTCTCTCACTAACGGGCGGCTGTTTAGGGATTACGCGTATTGACCTAGGGTTACTCGAGTCGTGTCGGTCTCGACTTCCAAGAGAACGCGAGGATTTATCCCTAGTTCCGGGGGTCGCGATCGTTCGAAATAAGTTCGGGATCGTTCGCCACGCGTACTCTCGGTCATACAGAATCACCCGCGATCCGATCGTACGTCGCTAGCCAAACCGAATCTGTCACTCTCCTTGGACCGGCCCACATTGGCATAAAATATTCCCTCGTCGTTTCTCGGAATTGGACTCAAGTCACGGTCGAGTTCTTGGGTCCACGTACCGTTTTTCCTAATTAGCCATTCCCTATTGGTCAGTATCCCGAGAATGATCAGTTCCGGGCGAGACTTACTAAAATGAAATGAGAAATGCATATCCATTTTATTGATCACGAAAGTGGTTCGAATTCAGGACGTTACAACTCTTCCCCCCTCACAAAAATTTCGTCCTCGAAATTTACGATTCAAAACCCGACTACTCAAACAAATGGGGGTGCTGACATCGCATCACTTCTTCGCTTTCCCAGGTGGCGCCTTCTGTCCCGTGATGTTCCCAGACAACTTTGACCAACGGGATCGTCTTATTCCTCAAAACCTAATCCTTCCTGTCCTCAATTCGCACTGGTCTCTCCACGTACGACACCCTGTCGTCCATGTCTACCACTTCATGATTCAGCACGTGGGTCGGAGTCGATTCATACTTCCTCAGTATTGACACGTGGAAGACGTTATGAACTTGCGACAAATTCGGCGGCAAGGCGAGGCAATAGGCCAACGTTCCAATCCTCTCCAAAATCTCGAACGGGCCTATATACTTTGGACTCAGTTTTACTTTCTTGCCAAACCGAGACAGTCCTCTCATCGGTGAGACCTTAAGGAATACATGGTCACCAACCTGAAACTCCAACGGTCTACGCTTTCGATCCGCATATCTCTTCTGACGGCTCTGAGCTGTTCTTAGCCTTTCCCGGATGATTTTTACCGTTTCCATCGACTGTTGAGCCAATTCTGGCCCTGTTACACTTCTTTCTCCCACTTCATCCTAACACAATGGCGTTCTACATGCTCTGCCATAAAGTGCTTCAAACGGAGCCATCTCAATACTCTGCTGAAAGCTGTTATTGTAGGCAAATTCGATCAAATGCAACTGCTCTTCCCACTTACCCTGAAAATCTAATACACACGCTCTCAGCATATCCTCTAAAGTCTGAATAGTCCTCTCAGATTGGTCATCCGTCTGCGGATGATAGGTCGTATTGAATTGCAACTTTATTCCCATGGCCGCTTGCAAACTTTTCCAAAAATTCGCAGTAAACCGGGGATCACGGTCCGAAGTGATTGATACCGGTACTCCATGAAGACGGACTATCTGCCGCACATACAATTCTGCATACCTTTCTAATTCGAAGTCCTTTCGCACTGCCAGGAAGTGCGCTGACTTGGTCAATCTGTCCACTATCACCCAAATAGAGTCGTGTCCCCTCTGGCTTCTTGGCAATCCCGTTACAAAATCTATTGTAATATGCTCCCATTTCCATTCTGGGATTTCCAACGGTTGTAACATTCTACCAGGTTTACAATGCTATGCCTTCACTTGTTGGCACGTCAAACACTTGGCCACATCTACCTTCATTCCATTCCACCAATAGTGCTGTCGAAGGTTCTGGTACATCTTCGTGCTGCCCGGGTGAATGCTAAAATTGCTCCTATGAGCTTCCGATAAAATCTCTTTCTTAAGTTCCAAACCATCGGGCACACACAAACGTCCCCAAAACTTCAGAATTCCGTCCTCGGACACTTGAAAGTTCGGTTTCCTCTTAATACCATCCATCTCTAGAATCTTTTGAATCTCAGGGTCCGTAGACTGCAATGCCTTAATCTTGGTTTGCACTTCCAGTTCAATCCTTAATGTTGCCACCAAACTGGAGAGGTGCCCTACCTCGAACTTAAACTCTGAGTCTCGCGCTCCTTCTAATAAAATCCACCCTTTGACTATTAATTGCGCGATGCTCGATTTCCGGCTTAAGGCATCCACTACCCGGTTGGCTTTCCCGAGATGATACCAAATGTCACAATCATAGTCCTTCAGAAGTTCCATCCAACGCCTTTGCCTCATATTCAATTCCTTCTGAGAAAACAAATACTTGAGGCTCTGATGGTCTGTGTAGAACTGGAACCTTTCTCCACACAAATAGTGCCTCCAAATCTTAAGTGCGAAAATGATTGCTGCCAGCTCCAAGTCGTGAGTCGGGTAGTTCATCTCATGAGGCCTTAACTGTCACGATGCATAAGCAACTACCCTTCCATGTTGCATTAGCACGCATCCCAATCCCTTGAGCGAAGCATCGCTATAGATCTCATATCCTCCTGGTCCTGAAGGGATCGTTAATACTGGCGCAGTCGTCAATCTCTGCTTCAATTCCTAGAAACTTTCTTCGCACTTTTCCATCCATTCGAATTTCGTCTCCTTCTTAAGCAATCTTGTCAATGGAGTGGCTATCGCTGATAATCTTTCCACGAATCGTCGATAATAACCTGCCAGTCCTAAGAAGCTTCGAACCTCAGTAACTGTTGTCAGTCTCGGCTAATCCATCACTACCTCGATTTTTGCCGAATCCACAGAGATTCCTTCTCCGGAAATTATATATCCAAGAAACGCTACTCGGTTCAGCCAAAACTCACACTTGCTAAACTTAGCATACAGCGCATGCTCTCTTAACGTCCGTAGAACCTTTTCCAAGTGTACCTCATGTTCCTCAGGACTCTTTGAATACACCAAGATATCATCTATGAAGATAATGATGAACTGATCGAAAAACTCCTTAAATACCTGATTCATTAAGTCCATGAAGGCAGCAGGGGCATTAGTCAGTCCAAACGGCATTACCGTGAATTCATAGTGCCCATACCTCGTCCTGAATGCCGTCTTTGGGATATCCTCCTTTTGGATCCTTAACTGATGATACCCTGTCCTTAAATCAATCTTAGAAAATACCGAGGCTCCTTGCAACTGATCAAACAGGTCATCAATCCTTGGGAGGGGATACTTATTCTTGATTGTCACCTGATTCAGCTGGCGGTAGTCAATACATAGCCTCAACGACCCATCCTTCTTTCTTACGAACAAGACTGGTGCTCCCCATGGAGATGCACTCGGTCGGATAAAACCTTTGTCCAGCAGTTCCTGCATCTGAACCTTTAATTCTTTCAACTCTGACAATGACATCCTATAAGGCGGCTTCGATATTGGCTCAGTCCCAGGGGCCAACTCGATAACAAACTCCACTTCTTTTTCTGGTGGCAATCCCGGCAATTCCTGAGAAAAGACATCGGGAAAGTTGCACACCACTACTATATCCTCTAACCGCACTTCTCTTGCCGTCGAATCAACCACACTTGCTAGGTAACCCTGACACCCCTCATCTAATAACTTGGTTGCTTCTACTGAAGATACCCAAGGGATCGAGGTTCCTCCTCGACTCCCTACAAACTCAAATCTAGGGTGTCCGGCCGGACTAAACTGAATCACCCTGCTACTGCAATCCATCACAGCATTCTGTTTGACTAACAAATCTATGCCCACAATCACATCAAAATCATATATTGGCAAAACAGCTAAATCTATCTTGCTTTCTACGCCACCAACTAATATCTCACAGTCCGGACATCCTAACGATATGCATATCTTATCCATTAATGGCGTAGTCACACATAACTGCACTTCTAGCAAAACAGGTTTTAATCCAGCCAATTCAACAAACTGAGCAGACACAAATGAGTGCGATGCCCCCGGATCAAACAAAGCATACGCGACATGATTGCACAGAGAAACCATACCTGTGACCACGCTTGCCGCATTCTCAACTTCCCTTCGCGCCATGGCGTAAACCCGTCCTTGTGCTGGCGGCCTGTTCATATTAGCCGGCGGGGGATTCCCAGCCTGATTCTCAACTTGAAGCAAGCCCCAAATCTATTCTGCTGGTGGTTCGGCTTTCCGATATTCTTCCTAATTGGTGGGACGAATCGCCTGTTTCCCGCCATCGGCTTCTTCCCGAGACGGCGGTTGTCTCTAGCCGGGGTAAACCGCGATCCAGAAGCGGCTACCCTTTCCACCTGATCTCGCTCTATGGCTTAAGCATGTTCATACATTTCCCCATATTCCCGAATGTTGAGCGATATCATCTGACTCCTAAGGTCCGACTTTAGCCCATCTCGAAATCTTCGAACCTTATCCTGCGGGTTCTCCACCATCCTAGGTGCAAATCTCGACAATCTAGCCAACTCCGCTTCGTACTGATCTACAGTCATCTGTCCTTGGCGGAGCCTCATAAATTCCGCCAGTTTCCTCTCCTGGGCACTCTCTGAGATGTACTTTCCATAGAAATTCTCGGTAAACACAGCCCAAGTCTAGGCGACACCCTCTGGAAATACTCTGCCCTTGGTGGCCTTCAACCAGTCATTTGCATTGTCCTGCAACTGATATATCGCCAATGCCACCCTTTCAATCTCGGTGCACCCCAGAACATCAAAGGCTTTCTCTAATTCTTCTACCCATCGCGGTGCAGCCTCGGGGTCACCCTTCCCATTGAACTTCGGCGGTTTCAATTTCAAGAACTGCTCGACCAACTTAGACATCGACCTGATCACATTTGCCGGTCCCGGAATTGGATTCTCGTTATTCCCCTGATTCCCATCACTTCCGTTATTCCCATTGGCCCCATTGGCAGCAGCAATGGCGGCCTCAACAGCAGCGGCAATAGTGGCATTTCTCTCCTAGGCCTGCCTACCACCTAGAATTCCGGCTTCCTCTAGAGCCCTCAAAATACCATCTACTCTGGGATCTTCTGCAGCCCTCACTGGCGGTTCAATGCGGTTTTGCTCACGGCCTCGATCTCTACCCCTACCACGGCCTCGACCTCTACCTCTTCCTTGGCTACTCATCTTCCCAACTCGCACGCTCACCTACCTGCTATAATTCCATTCAGGAATTAGAGACCTAAACCAAGCTAAACCGGTCTAAGGTCCTAGGCAGGGAACTACAACAATAGCAGTCAATCACTCAGTGTGCGGCTAAGCATAAACAGCACAAGACCTCAACCAAGGAGATACACGTACTTACCTCGGGTCCTGCCGCACCTGCACTTTACGGGTCAATTCATATACGTACTCAATCAAAACACAGACAGTTAGGAGATACACTTAGCACATAAGGTCTCCCTACTGGTTACCCAAGGTCATCGCTCCTTATTACTCCAGGCTTCCACCGAATTGGACCGAGCTGACCTTGCTTTGATACCAAATCAACGGGGGATGTCACGCCCCGAACCCTACGGTGCGCGACAACCCAACCGAGGTCGATTAAAGTACGACGTCCAGGACACGTCGCCGACCCATCACCCAACACAGAGAATCATGCACACGCAGAAGCAACATAAACACCCGTACAATTTAAAACACATGACCAAGGATAGCACAAACAATAAATAGCCTTATAAATATACACTTGCATTAACATCGGGAAACATATACAATATCCATTTATAGCCAAAATATACACCACCAATCAAAAACGGGTCAGCGGCCACTACTAGCAAAAAGGGTAAGTGGCCCAGGCGGTCAGGGATACTAAAACTAGGTAGGGCTCCGGTCAAAAAGGTACTGACCCGACCTATCTAAGACTAAGGCTAAATACTATGGAACCCAGTCCGGGTCGGATCTCGAGGACTCAGAGGAACTGTCACACAGCTCGACCTCGGAGTCTAGGAAATCCAGCTCGGACTCGGCCTCTGCCGGTTCCTCCTCGGAATCCATCTCCTCAGGATCGCCCTCCTGCTCGTGGTCCTGCTCCATAAACTCTGGCTCCTCGTCCGACTCCATTGGCTCCGGATCAAAGTTCCAATCCACCGGCTCCTCATCCATCGGGTCAAACTCGTCAACCTCCCAGATAACAGGCCGACGGCCAGAACTAGAACTCCCCTCTATCGTGTACTCGGGGCTCGCCAGGTCTCCATCCTAACACTGGGATCCACCTCACCTAGCCTGTTGAACGGGACGTCGAAAGTCCTGAGGGGCCCGAACGTCCCAGAGTAGTCCCTAAAACACCAGGCGATATACTCGTGGGCTTGGAAATGCTGCTCACCCGCATCAATCCATACAGTAGTGACATGCCTAATATATCCTGTTCCCTACGGGGTACTCAGTCACGTCCCGGTCTATCCGGGACAGAATCCCAAAACTGATAGGTACATCTGACATCTTCAGGGCCGGGGGTCTGAAAAGTTGGGTTTTAACAACAATGAGAACAAATCTCATCGAGTAAAACCCCCTAAACGTAAACTAGGCTAACATGCACCTCCTGACCAACACAAACAACCAGTAACAATCGACAATCAATTGACCTAGGCCCTCGGGCCCAGATCGAGCACACAATTGACCTTGCAGGTTAGACAGTTTGTCGTAATACTCATGGCACATACGCGAACACACTTAGTCACACGTACGCCATACGTATGTTCATGCTCATTAATGTCTGCATCACACACGAGTCACCGATGCGCACATGCCTGCACAACTGCCAATGTACTCTTACACACATATGCCACCAATATGCCATGCTCATGATCCAGCTCAATAATGCACACTTGCATACTGCCAATTCTCATTTAGAGCTCGACCCGCGTAAAACGCATCAAGTCTATTCATGTCCAACACTTCCTGGCCCGCGTAAAACGTATCAAGCCCAGTGTCTCTAGCCCGCATAAAACGCATCAGGCGCAACACCGATCTCCATATACGAACCAAAACTCGCGTAAAACGCATCAGACTGGCCGTCTTCCGACAATCCGAGCATCGTCCCGCGTAAAACGCATCAGAACGGGTTCAATACCCTGCGTAACACGCATTAGGGCTTATAGTGATCACACATATACACACACCAGATTTTATCTGAACCCCGCGTAAAACGCATCAAGGCAATTAGGTGATCACATGCTCATGTCAGGCACGCATACTCGCACAAGTGTCGCCTCAAGCCAATGCTCAGCATGCAAAATGGGTGGTCATGCACAATGAGCATTCGATTCCAGCATGGGCACATAATCCAATCATGCCAAGACATACTCAAACAATATCACGATGTGCTCAAATATCCAATTGACATGCCCACGTTCAGTCCCAATATGCCCAATCAACATATTAGCATGTCCAATTAAACAATTCAATGCAATTAGGCTTCGGCACACAATTGGCACATAATTCATGCAATTAGCACAACGTAAACTTGCGCACTCGAGGCCCACCTGCCACTTCATACTCGGCCACTAAGCACGCGACATGGCATTATGAAATTGATAACAACCGAGCACAATTCAATCCCCCAAATGGGTCAAAACAAAGCATGCTCGGGATTTCCACCATTAAATCCTAAATTCACCGTACCGGGGCTAATTAATTCCAATAATTCCAGCCATCAACAGCCCACTCTAGGGCACTAAACCACATTGAAATCAACACATTAGACTCCCAAATCGTCACATAATCCATCACTAATCAAGCAGCCCACTAATCATCCATAATTTCCCCTAATTAACCCCTAAATTAACCTAAACCTATCTAGAAATGCTAATTAGCCTAATTAGGGTTTAGGGATAATTACTCAACTAGTCTCAAGCTCCAATCTAGTGGCTGAACCGGCGGGAAAACAGGCGAACCAAGCGGGCTCGCGGCGGCGTAAGCGGCGGCGACGGGCGGCCTTCACGGCTGCGCAAGCGGCGGTGGCGGTCCAAGGCGGGGGCTGCTCACACGACTGGGGAAAGGAAGAGAGAGAGAATGGGACGGCTGGATGGTTGTGGCGCAAGGTGGAGCGAGCGGTCCGGCGTGGAGCGCGGCGGCGGTGCTCCTTCGGCGAGCGGCGGCACACGGCCGAGAGAGGGAGAGAGAGAACCGGCAAGAGGGGGAGGAGAGGGAAGAGTGGCCGGCTAGTGAGGGTGAGAAATGAGAGGAGAGAGAGAGATTGAGGGAGATATACACATTGGCTAGTGGGGTGGTTGACCAAATTCTACCAAAAGACCATCTTGCCCTCAATCCAAGGGCTTAGATTTAATCTAACTATAATATCTAGGGGCATCTTAGTCCAAAATTTCAGCATTATTGGGCTGATACAAATCAATTTAAAACCCTAAAATACTCTCCAATTAATCCCAAAATTCGGAATACAAGGCTAGGGGCATAGGGGCAAAACGGTAATTTTCTGGTCCCGAGTCAAATTTCTAATTTTCGACTCTACTGATCTCAAATATAATTGGCCACACTTATACGACGTTGTCCTTGCTAAATAGTTGCGTACGCCCACGAAATTCGATACCGAAGTCTGGACTCAATTCCACGATCGATTTCGCTCAAATGCGATTTTAGCGTCTCTCACTAACGAGCGGCTGTTTAGGGGTTACGCGTTTCGACCTAGGGTTACTCGAGTCATGTCGGTCTCGACTTCCAAGAGAACGCGAGGATTTATCCCTAGTTCCGGGGGTCGCGATCGTTCGGAATAAGTTCGGGATCGTTCGCCACGCATACTCTCGGTCGTGCAGAATCACCCGCGATCCGATCGTACGTCACTCGCCAAACTGAATCCGTCACTCTCCTTGGACCGACCCACATTGGCACAAAATATTCCCTCGTCGTTTCTCGGAATCGGACTCAAGTCACGGTCGAGTTCTTGGGTCCACGTACCGTTTTTCCTAATTAGCCATTCCCTATTGGTCAGTATCCCGAGAATGATCAGTTCCGGGCGAGACTTACTAAAACGAAATGAGAAATGCATATCCATTTTATTGATCACGAAAGTGGGTCGAATTCAGGACGTTACAATTAAAATAAGCCACGCCAGAGCCACATCAGCATTTTATGTTAGTTAGTTTGACAGCGTTAACTTTAAGACTCGATTGAACCAATTTGATAAGTTTTAAGACTTGATTGCATTTTTTATCAATTTTAGGACTAAATTGCACTTTTGTAACAAGTTTAAGAATTATAGTGAATATATCTCTTTTTTTTTTGGGGGGGGGGGGGTAATCTTGTGGGTCTGAGTTGAGTTATTAGTGGCTTATAAATGGGTCTATCAATAACCGATTTCGCAATTGGGCTCTATTGTAATAAACCCATTTCAAGCCCATATTAAAGCTTCAACTAACCCATTTTCTACTTAGTTCATTAAATATGAGTTAAAATATGGGTCATTGACCCATTTTGCCACCCTTACTTAATAATAATGTGATGTATATTATTTACCCGACTTGTATCGGGCACTTTACTTGACTTTACTTTCGTCATTCTTTTATAGCATTTGAGTGACATAAGGTGTTAATTTTAGCTCATGGAGATCAAGTCCCAAGGTTTACTAACAAAGTCGTGTAATATTTTTTACCTGGCTCATATTGGATTTACCTTCTCACATTTTACTTACTAATTATTTATTATCGCTTTTGATGTGTTGCGTTATTTTCCCTATTTCGATTCTATGCTTTGATTTCTTTAGCTTCAAGGAGTAGATCATGCTTTAGGGTAAACATAATCAACCACTTCTAGACACAGAGTAGAAAAAACCTTAGGATTCATAATTTGACATGACCGTATGAATCACTTAGAAGGCAAACAAAATGAGTTTTGGTATCGAAATGGCGTTAATTAAATAATTAGGGCAACCAAGTCCCCGAATTTAGAATCTGTAATTTGTAAGAAGTGGGACTAATCTCCACATCCCACTTGACTTCTAGCTGACCCTAATAAGTTAGTGGCAACTTCCAAATATAATAGAATAAATAAATCAAAATGAATCAAAATTTCTCAACATCACTCGAAATAAGGGTTTGGGAGAATTCATATCAAACAAGGGCGAGTCGATCAAGTATGAGGACCGTTCGTTCTTGCTCACCCCTTAACCATGACATTAGGAAGGGTCACAACATTGGTCAAAGAATCACGAATGCTACTTCCGGTCGGTCTCCCATTGACTTTCTTTTGTGAGCGGTTTAGTGTCCCCCCGAACTACACCTAATAAAAATCAAACCTTAGACTTCAATACTTCGTAAGAGCTCAAATTATCTCCATGCCCAACCGAAGTTCGAAGGGGAGAAAAGTAAAAAAAAAGGCCTTTCCATTCATCAGTTCATGTATTCTGTCTTCGGTAATAAAAACAAGATATTCATGTATTTTGCTGCACTAGGATCTAAATGTCTTGGGTTATTATTTGCGAGTGACTATTTTGGTTTGCTAATTAGACGAATTTAATCCTGTTGGTATTTGAGTTTTCTTTTTTCTTTCTTTGTTTCTTTTTTGTGTGTTTGAGTAACTTGAGTAAGTAAATTACTTTAAAAACGATTGAAATTTTGAATTATTCCGTACTTGCCGTGCAAAACTGGCATTTTACCCTAATTGTAGTAGACATGTGACATGCGTCTCCTTAAAATCATTTTAACCTTCAAGGGTTGGCACAATTGGTTGGTATGTCAAAGGGTTTCCAAATAAAAAATCGAAGGTATCTCGCAAGTTGCATACAAAATGCTTTTGGTTAAGGCCATATGCACAGGTCAAAGGGCTAGATTTACTGATTTATGAGATTTGTAGAGCGTTTCATCGACCTTTAAGTAGCCGAGACTCTACGCTTATTACCCTTGGATCGTAAAAAAAAAAAAAAAACCAAAAGCACAAGCACAAGCCAAATGGCTAGACTCAACCGATTTATGAAATTTGCAGAATGTTTCATAGATCTCCAAGGAGTCGAAACTCTATGCTGATACCCCTGAATTATAAAATATATAAGTTTGATTATCTATACTAATAAAATTTATTTTTCATTTTTTGGATGGAAAACTTCCATTCATTAAATTCATGATGATCAAATAACTAGGGTTTCACGACCTCAT